CGTATAAACATCCAGACTACACGAGCCGGTGAAGAAAACTCACCAGCACGATGAGACAGTCCGTATTTACTGACGGTAAACCCAAACCAGCCTTCCAGCAGAACAGCTCACTGGGCGCCGCCATCGTCACAATCCAAACACCTGTGACCCGGAGCTGCTGCTTCGACAAATAAAAGTCCCAACCAATCCGTCAGTCTGTGGCTGCGTTTCATTCAAAGGTGTTAATGCTTGGTTGGTGTAATATGATAGGTCTAAAATAAGTTTTAACCCACTTTAAGTCTATGGGCTGTGTAAAATTATGTGATATGTTCATACATGCTGTATTTGGTAATTTTATAACTACACTAAAATTCGAGTTTGTAAATAAAGACTACCGGAGTAGGCTACGTTTTACTAGAAAATAGGCTATCAGTTTTTGTTTTTGTTTTTACTTTAAAATCTAATGTTTAATTCAATGCGTTATTTGTTACAATGTGTTAATTTTAAATGTACATTGAGACCGGAGTAGAAAGCTGCTGCTGAAAATTCATCTTTATCGTTTGTCATCAGAGGATAAATAAGAATAATATTTTAAATATTCTAAATAATAATAATAATATATAATAATAATTCTAAATAATAGCCTATTTTAAAACACAAAGTAGGAAATTATATTTTAAATTGCAATAATATTTTACAATAATACTATTTTTTACTGTATTTTGATCAAATAAATGTAGCCTTGTTGAGCATAAGAGTTTTTTTTTTTTTTTTTTTTTCAAAAAAAAAATTTTGAACGGAACAACAAAACTATTTCCCTTAAAACGAAATCCTTAAAAAACCTGAAAATAAATGTTAATTATTAAATGAAATAAATAAATAAAAAGGCATAAAAACATATTTTATTTCAGCTAGTTGCCAACATTTCTCATTTTTAATTAGTTTAAACAAAGTTTTGAACGGTAGTGTTTATTGTTTGTGGTAGCTGAAATTCACTTTTGTAAACATATATACTGCTAACAGTGAAGGAATATTGCTGTCATTTAATATCTGTTTTGACTTTTTTTATACTCTTGTAGTAAGTGTATTGTGTTTTGGCAGGAAGTTTGGTTACCATGGCATTAAGGTAATTTAACGGAACTGCATGCCTTTGTGTTATGCAGTATATTATCGGTGTTTTAAGTAGGGGAGAGCAGAGATGCCATATCTTGGCCAAATGGACAATCAACCGCATATGTTACAACTCTCCATTCTAAACAGCTGCCAAGAATTCATGAGCCAAAACTACATGCACACATGATGACATCATCTCCCGAAACTCAAGGGACTGATAGAGTCCAGTACATTCCAGTTCAGGACATGAGCACCCATCCCGTCCGTTTGTGTGAACTGTGGTCCTCTTCTCTTTCTTTAGAGCACTTTTACTCAATCTATGGCCTGGAAAAACACATATGTAACCACTTAATGTAACTGTGTGTTCCCATTTAGATAATTAAGTTTCATCGAGGGTAAAGACAAGGAAAGTTCAACATATTGAGAAAATCTCTGGAAAAGGGCTTTGGGCATCATTGGGACATTCCAGAATTCTCTGAAACTGTTCCAAGAACAGGCTGAAGGACAAAAGGATCCTTGCACATTGTATAACACTTAGTGCATGGTTTTAATATTTAAAGGAACATGCAATAATATTTAAAGGATTGGAAAATTATACTAATCATTATTATTCAATGTAAAATAATTAAAGCAGCTATAAATTCAGTCCAGGGTGTCACTAAACATTTCAGACTGTGTGTGGTAAGATGACGTCCTTCCTCCCAAAAGCAAACATCAGGGTGGCATAAAGCACTTCACTGAAGCCCTGTGGAAAAACCAAATGACCCGTTTAACAACTCAAATTTCAGACACAGACAAACACTCAAACCTCAAGTGAATAAAACATCACTGATCCGAGAGGAAGAGTTCTTACCACAGCGTCTCTGACCTGGAGGAAAAAACATCAAGGGATTTAAAATATTTATATGAATGCAGATGATTTTGTTGAACCAGCTGACACAAACATGCCAAAATACTGTTTTAAAGGGGTGGTTGATTGTGATTTCAATGAATCATGATTCTGTCTTCTAATGATTCTAATGGATTCACAAGATTCAAAATCAATGTTCTAAAGCAGCGATTCTTAATAGTGTTCCTCGCGTCCCCCTGCTCTGCACACACTGCACACACCTCTCTCTCTCTCGCTCCCTCTCATTCAGCTCAGCTCCAACAATGAACTGTTCCAATTATACACTTATTTTCACATAGCTATGAGAAGCGTTAAACATGGACGCACGTGCAGTTGCCGTACTGTATTAAAGCTTTAATCAGGATAAAACCGTATATTAAAGGGGTCATATGATGCTATTTTAAAGATCATTATTTTGTGTATTTGGTGTAACAGAATATGTTGACATGCTTTAATGTTCAAAAAACACATTATTTTTCAAATACTGTACATTATTGTAGGTCCTCCATGCCCCGCCTCTCTCAAACGCTTCGTTTTCTACAAAGTCCCTCCTTCCGACAAGCGCAGTCTGCTCTGATTGGCCAGCTAACCCAGTGCATTTGGACGCTTTTGTCCATATTAGGAATGTCCTCATACGACTTTCCGCGCGAGAGCGCCCTCCGGCTTCGAGTATGAATGAAACATACACTGCACGGAATGTTTAGCGCTCTGTGATGTTCATCTCGCTTTATTCTGGGTCCGAATAAAACATCAGATCATGCACAGACTATCCTGTCTCTTTGAATTGAAATCTATATTTATTCACAGGGCTCTTGAACACCTCTATGCGAACACACTTGCCCGAAGTGCGGGGACGAATTTACGTGATATTAAAAGTGGGGGGGACACGTCCCCCGCGTAGTGAACCACCCCTTTAAATCTAATGCAAACTGGAAACATATTATTTTAATAATCTGATGGAATACTTTAAAAAGGCTGACAGATGTGGTTATGACTGCAAATGTCTTGAGGAGAGAGTTGCCCACTGCTGCAGCCAGACGACACATACACACACACACACACACACTCCTGCTGGATAATGTCACTGCTGATGTCATCACATGGATTCATTTCAGCAGAGGTGAGATGTGCTATTTATAGTGAGAAGTTATGACCATAAATATATAATGACCTGCCCCACACACACATAATGAGTAAACATAATTAACTATTATTTGCTATTATTTAACAACAACGACAACAACAAAGTATAGCTGGGGCCCTTGTGATTCTCTTTAGGAAAATTGTTTCACAGAACAGAGAAATTAAACAAACATTATTTTTTATTAATCATAATAATGATGATGATGATAATAATAATAATACTGTACATATATTGAATTTGAGGTGCAAGAAGTGCAACACTAAACCTCATGTGAATAATGTATATTCATTCTTCATATTCGCCCACAATTTCAATGTTGCCAAGCCTTTTCTTACCCTTTTATAAAAAATATTGCAGAGGAACAATTCATTGCTCAAACATTGCTCTTTCATTGCTCATGAACTCAGGTTCATAAAGGAATAGTTCACACAAAAATGAAAATTTTGTCATTAATTACTCACCCTCATGTCATTCCAAACCCGTAAGACCTTTACAAATTAAGATATTTTTGATGGAATTCGAGAGCTTTCTGACCCTGACCCTGCATTCTGACCGCTGATGTCACATTCTTCTTTTTGTTTATTTGTATAGCACATTTAAAAACAACTTAGGTTGGACAAAGTGTTTTCCAATAAAAACAACATTCAGAAAAACAAGAAGTCAAAAAAACAAAAACAAAACATGGACTATTTTAACTATGTCCTTACTATCTTTCTGGGCCTTGAACGTGTCAGTTCCATTGCCATCTATGGAGGGTAAGAAAGCTCTCGGATTTCATCAAAAATATCTTAATTTGTGTTCCAAAAATGAACAAAGGTCTGACGGGTTTGGAATGACATGAGGGTGAGTAATTAATGACAGAATTTTCATTTTTGGGTGAACTATCCCTTTAAGTATTACCTTTGTCTCAGATGCTTCACTTAAAAATCAGAAATGAATCAAATATTGGCATAAATTAGGCATATAGAGCTATAAAATCTATGTGAATAGCGTACTTCAGATTCTGATCTTGGGAAGACTGATATTTATAGACTTTCTAGGCAAATCTGAGTACAATGTGAGACACTGTTGAGAGCTCTTCTGAAACTCTACTGATGTGGGATTACTGGGGGTTTTGTCTCAGGGGGAAAATCTGAAAAGCAGGAGAGATGAGCGAAAGTCTCATTTTAATCTAATAGCTGTCAAAGAGAAATGACTGAGATCTGATTTGTGGTTTTTCTAACTTTAATGGCGGTTTTAGAAAAAACATATATATTTTTTTAATTCCTCAAAGACAATGAATTGCAGGAGCTCCACCCACCTGTGCACGGTACCTGCTCAGGTGCTCAAACAATAAAAAGACTGTTCACTCTGATAAAGAGCCACTTTCTCCAGAGTCCGGGATATTAGTGGATGTTGACTCAACCTGCTGGCAGAGATCACATGCTGAAGGATTACTCGTCTTCAAAGATGATGAATATTATACCAAGAGTCTCCACCACCTTATTTGTTGGTTGGATTGTACTTTTCATGGGTGAGTAGCGACCTTATTTTAAATGTGATTTATGAAAAATTGAAATATGAAAAATTGATGTGAAATATGAAAAACTGTTTAAGGGATAGTTAGTCCAAAAATGAAAATTCTGTCATCATTTACTCACCCTCATCTCATTCCAAACCTGTATGACTTTCTTTCTTCTGTGGAGCACAAAAGAAAATATTTTTGAGGGGGAAAAAAAAATAAAGTCATTGTATTTGTTGTTTTGGACACCAGTGACTTTCAGTGAATAGACAAAAACATATTCCTCAAAATATCTCTTTAATCATGAGGGTGGCAACATTTTCATTTTTGGGAGAAATAAAAACCTTAAATCCTTATATTGATATCTGATTCAGGTGTAAACTCTGTCAATATCTCTGCGGTGGATTCTCCAGCTGAAAGCACAGATGCCTCGACTCCACACTATTTGACTTCAGTTATCATGGATCTCAGAATCACAAACCGTGTTTATAATCATTCACTGGCTGACCAGCAATCAGCAGAGTATACAACACTCAAGCAAGAGGTGGAACAACTGGTGAG